TTTAATCTTACAGAAAATAGACTTTGAAACATGTTTTCCACAGTTACTCTTGCATTTGCATGACAAAATGCAGCACTAATAACTACATCCATCAAGTACATTACACTTTGATCTTTATTCCAATCTGGTACAAGTATAAGTATATTTAACCAAAGATGTACAAGCTCTTGTGGGGTTTGTAAAGAATACCTATAACAAATTATGGCATATTATAAATGTGTGGCTGTGTGACATTAATATTGAAGAATTTATAACAAAGTACAATTACATACCTTTTAAAATTATATAAATGTGAGTGGATCATATTTGAAAATTGTTTTAGAATTGTCCCTGGAAATTCTGAGACTATAAGACTTTTAGCCATTTTCATATAAGATCTATCAGCCGCAATTAGAGAAATAATGATAGATATAAATTTATCATTTTTAAGTAATGTATCTTCACATGTCAAAAATAACGGTATAATATAATGCAAACATATAAGCACTTGTTCATATTTATAATAGGATTGTAATATTTGTAATTGGTTGAAACCATGTAAACATATCAAAGGTATAGAATGACCCCATAATGTCATAAGCATTGCCACATAACATGCAATAGGTTGTTTTTCATGTATGCCAGTGACTAAAATTTCCAAAGATGAATCAGAATCCATATCCGGTATATGAGCAAATGCTTCACTAGGGCTTTGAAATGTATAATGACAAAGTGCCTCAGACTGATCAAGTTGATGTAATCTAAGCTTAGAAATTATATCCCATGCCCATAATGAAAAAATATATTCAGCATTTTGTGGCCTTATCATTGATGAAACCTATAAATTTCAATGTAATATAAAAAATTAGAATTTATTTTATTAAAATAAATACTGACATAGTATTTTAAAATCATGCCTGTTTAACGCCCTCTGCTAATAAAGAAGCAGTTTGCACAGAAGAATCAGGTACATATTTCATTGTAACTTCAACAGTTAATAATGCTATACGTCTATGTAAATCAATAGGAAGATGTAAATTACCACTCCTGTAATAAATATACAAAATAAATTTTTGTTATAATAATGTATAAAACCACTTAATATTAGAACCAAAGGTATTTACTGCAAATTTTGTGGAAAAATAACTTTATCAAGAAGTGTTTATATTTTGGGTAAATAATAGCACAAATTATATTTTTCTCAAGCTAATGATAACTGTATTGAAAATTTTTAAAATTAATTTTTATTCT